TTCCCATAGTGAGATACCTCACTCGGTTTTCAGAGAACCGGGGTTACCCTGGTAACCAAAAGTTTTTTGCTCAGAGCTGCAGTAACAGACACCTAACAACCTGGTAGGTTTTCTTCATGTTATTTATTTTGTGTTAATTTGATCAAACACAACTTTACTTAGGAATATGCACCACATAAGCACAATTGAGGTTGTGGGACTAGATTTGACACAGCGGGTCATCACCAAATAGGATTATGTTATAATGCAGAACTCAGCAGATTATTGTATTTTATGGTGCAAATTCCCAAATAATCAAATTACCAAAAACACAATGAACCCAGGCCCTTTACCCAGTTGATAATCCAGCCTTGGCAATTCATATTGCTTAATCTACATTGCTGATCTCCACAAATACATTACAATTTTGTTCATGTAATTTTAAAATTTTGTCACAAAGTGCTTTACAATGTGTACAACATACATACTTCTGTCATTAGACCCTCAATTGCGTGTAGGCTATCCACTCAAACCACTAGATCAGCATGGAAAGGTGGCACAATTCTTTGTTTCCATAGTAGCCAAAGGAACACCACCAACAGGGAACAGCCCTATGCTGGCTGTTACTATGGTAACAGTAAAAACATTACCAGCACAGTGACAGTTGACTATGATATACCTAATAGATGCTTCAGATAGCACTGTTAGCTTTGTAATTATAACTTGCACATGCAGATTTCCCAAGAACAACACAAAGGGCAATAAAAAAGGGGAGAGGTGAATGGAAATGTGAAACATGGGCCATATGCCTGGTTGAACAACAAAATCCAATGTAAAAACAATTTAATGGGGTAAAATTGTCAAAGTAGTTTTTAGCTTGGCTTTTAGGCCATCCATATCTCAATGTCAAGTCTAAAAGTGTAGTAGTACATTACTTGGCAGAAGAATGAAATATTTTTGGCTTACTCTTCATGTTATGAAGAGTAAGCCAGTCAGTCTTCATTCCTTTTAATGAATGACTTAGGGAGTACTTTTGCACTTTACCTCTTTGTCTGTTTTTCTTTATGGGTGAACAGTATAAAAGTTGATTATTATTATTATTATTATTATTATTATTAATATTATTTTGTGGGTGATTTATTCATGATTTATTATTCATGTTGGTGCTCATTAATCAGACAATTGTACACTATATCACACTGAGATCGTTCGAGGTGGTATATGGTCAGTGTGTTGAAACTCTAAGTATATGGTGTAAAGAGCTTTTGTTTTATTTATTTATCAATGCCCCCTCAAAATGTGTCTTTACATCCCGGTGTTGCAGTGGTCTCTTTCATGGATTTCGGAGGGGTATAGTAGTAAATGCATATGTATAGTAGCTTAATCTCACAGGATATTTGCACTTATTTGTTTAATAATCAGTTTTAATGTGATATGAATAAACAGGAATGGACTACATGAGGACAATTTTCACTGACAGGGCATGGTAGACATTTGCCATGCCTGTCAGTGGCTAACTGCCTTGCCCCGCAATAACAACAATCTCTCAACATATTTTGTTCTAGTGAATTTTACTGTGACTTGTGCAAGTTTGTTTTGAGGAATGCGCCTTGGTTCGATCATAAAAATGAAGAGGATTCTTCTATTCTACTGGCAGTGAAGAAAAGAGCAATTAAAACAGGATAATGGTAAGTGTGAAGCAGAGACTGACAATCAAATGTATGAGAGCAGAGAGAAAAAATTCTAAACATTTTTAAAAAAAGAAGATATTTTTGAAGTGCCACATTTGCTGCAAAAATGATTAAATTCATTTAGTTAAAATTATGCCTATTTATTTTATTTATATGGCTTTGAGGAATGTTATGACAACAAAAGTAGCCCAACTTGATTTTCTGCCTAATCACCAGTATGAATTACAGTTAAGTAAAAACATTACAAATATTATAACTGCTTACAATTTCTCTCAAGTAAACCCTAGAAAAACATCAAGTATCAGATACTGAAGAAAGCAAATGTGTGTTTGGTATTAAGAGGTGGGGTAGTCGATTTGTGAGTGCAGCTTCAATCCAGTACAGCATTTAAAAAGTGCATATTATGAGCAACACAATCAAGCTGGTGTTTGACCAGCAGTTCACAGTACGCCTTCATGAAACCTACTGTGGGATCTGTTGCCTTGTTTCACTCAACCAGTTAATTTGGCTCACAGAATGACACTGAACTTAAAATAACCCAGCTGAGTTTAGGTCCAATAGTTCACTGCTCACTAATAATCATTTCAGAGCCAGTCGATAATTCCACCTGCTACTTGAAAGTATTCCTACATTTCAACTGTAACATGTAAAGTTGGTTAGTAGCTTCTTATGCCAATTAAGTTAAATTTGTTTCATAGTTCAAGGAACCTACTGTAGCCAAGAACCAAATCGTTTTTTATTGATAATAGAAACAACTTCCAACCCGTAGACTAAAAAGTGAAATAATAACAATAAACAAGACAATGGTATGGTTTGCCCACTTACAAAGAATGGAACTCTGTATAATTTTAATCATAGGTACCTTTTAACATTGAGAGACAGAATATCACAAANNGAATAACAACATCATATACATTTTATACATTTATGATCATATTTTTGCATGAAATAAGTATTTGATCCCCTACCAACCAGCAATAATTCTGGCTCCCACAGACCAGTTAGATTTCCATTAAGAAGCACTTATAATCTCAACTCATTACCCAAAACACCTGTCAACTCCTTACATTGTTATGTAGCTGTATAAAAGAAACCTGTCGACACAATCAATCACATTCCAACGTTTCCACCATGGGCAAGACAAAGGAGCTGTCTAAGGACATCAGGGACAAAATTGTAGACCTGCACAAGGCTGGGATGGACTACAAGAAAATAAGCAAGCAGCTTGGTGAGAAGTTAACAACTGTTGGAGCAATTATTAGAAAATGGAAGAAACACAAAGTCACTGCCAATCTCCCTCGGTCTGGGGCTCAACGCAAGATCTCGCCTCGTAGGATATCAATGATCATGAGAAAGGTCAGGGATCAGCCCAGTACTACACAGTAGCCTAAAGGCAGTTGGGACCACAGTCACGAAGAGAACCATCAGTAACACACTACACCGTGAAGGATTAAAATCCTGCTGCATGTGCAAGGTTCCTCTGCACATGTACAGGTCCGTCTTAAGTTTGCCAAAGAACACCTGGATGATCTGAGACCAAAATAGAGCTATTTGGCATCAACTCGACTCGCCGTGTTTGGAGGAAGAGAAATGCTGAGTACAACCCCAAGAACACCATCCCCACTGTGAAGC